TCACTTCAGATATCTGCTCAAGCCAAATAACATTCACACACACTCAGAAAAACCAAACCGCACAAAACACAAATTCTTGCATACGCTCACACCACGCATGCGTATGCACGAACACATGATGGGAGGCAGACAGACGTGAATGCATATGATTGCATCACACAACAGTTTGACACACCCCCATAGGCAAAGTGGAGGACTGGCAGACGCAGACTCAGCAACTAGAGCAGTGGCGTAGTCTAGACGGCAGCAGCAAAGTCAAGCAGCTCAGCAACGAAAGCAGACGCAGCAGCAGACTCAAAAGAAGGGTCTGTGACAGCAGTGGCGAGAAGACGAGAGTCAGTGGGACTGGCAGCACGAGCTCGGTCAGACTCAGGGTTAGGGACCTCTGGAAGAGAGGACTCAGGAGGAGCAGGCAGAGGAGAACGACTGGAGAATGCCCTCCCCACGACAAAAGTCCCGCAAGAGGTTGGAGGAGAACTCACCACCTTTGTCAGAGTGCAGACGCAAGACAGAAAGGTCCTGGCCGAACCGCTCGCGGAGTTGGAGACGGACTGTGCGGATCCAAGGGATCAAGACATCAACGACTTCACCCTTGCTGCGCAAGGGGAAGTCCGCGGTGTACCGCGTGTAGTCGTCAACTATCAGCAGAAAGTACCGCTCGCGGCCCTGTCCACTGACGTGGGTTGGGTTTACACGTCCATGTGGAGAGTCTGCAGTGGAGCAGTCGTCGGGAGAAACGAGGAGTGAGGAGCGGCGCGCTGCCGCCCCTCGACACACAGAGTGCAGGGCAGGGCAGGCGAGGGCGGGAGGGGAGGTAGAGACCTGGGTAGACCAGAGACGAGAAGACGGGAGTGCATGCCACGAAGGCGTGGCAGGGAGGGGTGAGTGGTCCCTGACAGAGCGAAGAGAGTCAGGGAGGCGAGTGACTATGAAGTAGAGGGTGATGAACATCGGGGGCTGGTTCCTATCGAGGAACTCAGCAGGGACGGTAGCGCGGTAGCGAGCGTCGCTAGTGCGCAGGTGGGAAACCAGGTCCTCTAATGTGGCAAAGGCTGACAGCTCAGGGAACAGGTAGGGCAGAAGCAGGCGGCCTAGAGCAGCAGTGGCAGGCAAGGAGTAGCGGGCGACTACATCAGCGTACAGTGCCTGGGCTGTCCTATGCTTTCCAAAGTGGGCGCATTTGGCTAACGGCAGGTGGTTGCGAATGGCCAAGTGGGCAGCAACGTCGCGAGTAAGCCACTGTGAGCGAGTCGCACTGTCAGCTGTGGCGGGAGGGGCAGTAGCGGCGCCCGACGCAAGGTCAAACAGCAAAACAGTTTCCTTAGAATCGCTCAGTAGGTACTGCTGTAGGTCGTCGAGCCACGTGTCAAACTGAACCGGTCTGCCCTCATGATCGAACTCGAGAACCCTAAGCGAAGCCATAGCTGTGCAGTACGCAGGAGCAGCAGTAGCAGCAGTAGCAGCACCAAGAGCAGCAGTATCAGTAGTAGCAGTAGCAGCAGGGACAGAGAGGCCAAGGGGCCGAGGGGCGGGGCCGAGGGGCCTAGGGGCCGAGGGGCCAAACACGAAGGGGGGGCCTAGGGGCCGAGGGGCCAAGGGGCCGAGGGTCCTGGGGCCTAGGGGCCGAGGGGCCGAGGGGCGGTGCTGAGGGGCCTAGGGGCCGAGGGGCCAAACGCGAAGGGGAGGGGGGGGGCTAGGGGCCGAGGGGCCAAGGGGCCTAGGGGCCGAGGGGCCGAGGGGCGGGGCCGAGGGGCCGAGGGGCGGGGCCGAGGGGCCTAGGGGCCGAGGGGCCAAACAGGAAGGGGGGGGGGGGGGCTAGGGGCCGAGGGGGCAAGGGGCCGAGGGGCCTGGGGCCTAGGGGCCGAGGGGCCGAGGGGCGTTGCCGAGGGGCCTAGGGGCCGAGGGGCCAAGCACGAAGGGGGGGGGCCTAGGGGCCGAGGGGCCAAGGGGCCTAGGGGCCGAGGGGCGGGGCCGAGGGGCCTAGGGGCCGAGGGGCCAAACGCGAAGGGGGGGGGGCCTAGGGGCCGAGGGGCCAAGGGGCCTAGGGGCCGAGGGGCCGAGGGGCGGGGCCGAGGGGTGGGGCTGAGGGGCCTAGGGGCCGTGGGGCCAAACACGAAGGGGGGGGGGGGGGGCTAGGGGCCGAGGGGCCAAGGGGCCGAGGGGCCTGGGGCCTAGGGGCCGAGGGGCCGAGGGGCGGGGCTGAGGGGCCTAGGGGCCGAGGGGCCAAACACTAAGGGGGGGGGCCTAGGGGCCGAGGGGCCAAGGGGCGGGGCCGAGGGGCCTGGGGGCCGAGGGGTCAAACACGAAAGGGGGGGGGCCTAGGGGCCGAGGGGCCGAGGGGCCTGGGGGCCGAGGGGTCAAACACGAAAGGGGGGGGGGGGGGGTAAGGGCCGAGGGGCCAAGGGGCCTAGGGGCCGAGGGGCCGAGGGGCGGGGCCGAGGGGCCGAGGGGCGTGGCCGAGGGGCCTAGGGGCCGAGGGGCCAAACAAGAAGGGGGGGGGGGCCTAGGGGCCGAGGGGGCAAGGGGCCGAGGGGCCTGGGGCCTAGGGGCCGAGGGGCCGAGGGGCGGGGCCGAGGGGCCTAGGGGCCGAGGGGCCAAGCACGAAGAGGGGGGGCCTAGGGGCCGAGGGGCCAAGGGGCCTAGGGGCCGAGGGGCCGAGGGGCGGGGCCGAGGGGCCTAGGGGCCAAGGGGCCAAACGCGAAGGGGGGGGGGGGCCTAGGGGCCGAGGGGCCAAGGGGCCTAGGGGCCGAGGGGCCGAGGGGCGGGGCCGAGGGGTGGGGCTGAGGGGCCTAGGGGCCGAGGGGCCAAACACGAAGGGGGGGGGGAGCCTAGGGGCCGAGGGGCCAAGGGGCCGAGGGGCCTGGGGCCTAGGGGCCAAGGGGCCGAGGGGCGGGGACGAGGGGCCTAGGGGCCGAGGGGCCAAACACTAAGGGGGGGGGCCTAGGGGCCGAGGGGCCAAGGGGCCTAGGGGCCGAGGGGCCGAGGGGCGGGGCCGAGGGGCCTGGGGGCCGAGGGGTCAAAGACGAAAGGCGGGGGGGGGGGCTAAGGGCCGAGGGGCCAAGGGGCCGAGGGGCCAAGGGGCCGAGGGGCCAAACACGAAGGGGGGGGGGGGGGGGGGGGGGGGAGGGGGGGGGGGCTAGGGGCCGAGGGGCCAAGGGGCCTAGGGGCCGAGGGGCCGAGGGGCCAAACACAAAGGGGGGGGGGGGGGGCCAAGGGGCCGAGGGTCCAAGGGGCCGAGGGTCGTGGGGCCTAGGGGCCGAGGGGCCGCGGGGCCGAGGTTGAGGGGGGAGGGGGGGGGGGGGGGCTAGGGGTCGCTAGGGGCCGAGGCTAGGGCGAAGGGACGACGGGGCCGAGGCTAGGGCGACGGGGCGACGGGGCCGCTGCTAGGGGCGACGGGTCGCGGGTCGCTAGGGGTCGAGGCTAGAGCGACGGGACGACGGGGCCGAGGCTAGGGCGACGGGGCGACGGGGCCGCTGCTAGGGGCGACGGGTCGCGGGTCGCTAGGGGCCGAGGCTAGGGCGACGGGGCGACGGGGCCGCGGCTAGGGGTGACGGGGCGACGGGCCCGCGGCTAGGGGCGACGGGGCAACGGGTCGCGAGGGGGCCGCGGCTAGGGGCGACGGGGCCAAGGGGCCGCGGTTAGGAGCGACGGGGCCAAGGGGCCGAGGGTTGGGCGACGGGGCGATGGGTCGCTAGGGGCCACGGCTAGGGCGACGGGGCGACGGGGCCAAGGGGCCGCGGCTAGGGGTGTCGCGGCTAGGGGCGACGGGGCGACGGGTCGCTAGGGGCCGTGGCTAGGGCGACGGGGCGACGGGGCCAAGGGGCCACGGCTAGGGGCGACAGGGCCAAGGGGCCGCGGCTAGGGGCGAAGGGGCCGTGGCTAGGGGCGACGGGGCCAAGGGGCCGGGCTAGAGGCGACGGGTCGGGGCCTAGGGGGCCTACGGATCGCGAGGGTGGCTAGCTGGGCAGCACGTGGTGGGCCCAAAAAACGGTCCTAGGAGGGACCTGCTCTGAAACCATGTCGGAATAACGAACGAGAATGAATGAACTAGCAAAGAGTTGGGTACAAGTACTAACCCTAATTGGGTTGTACCCCTTATGGGCTTCCCCATTACAACCTATACAAATGTAAGCTATATATAAGTTTGACAGATCGCTGATGCGATCGTGCTTTGTCCTGCGCGTGACAGGGACATAATGAGCCCTGTCTTGTTGCGATCGTGCCAGTGTGGACGGTCGCAACCGTTGCGACACACTGAAGTGTCTTGTAAAGAAGCAGAGTTCGCGGAAATTGAAGGCTCTTTAATACAGAATGTACAACAATGGAACCCCCTCCGCCATGGATTCTACCTCGAGCACTTCGGAAGTCCCAATGTCTACTGAAACCTTGCTGGGGCTTTAACCAAGCTTTTCAGATTCCTCGCTTCGAGATTAACAAACGACTAAACAAATTGTATTCATACAACAAACATGTTTCAAGTTTATCAATCTTCAGTTTATTCCAAGGCATTAAACTCCCAAGGTTTCGCTTGCACTTTCAGTGTACATCAATGGACTTCCCAAGGCACTGCGCCAAGGGAGTTTCATGTTTTACGCCACCTACTGATTGACAAAGGAGGCATTAAGACATCTACTATCAAGTGTCTACCATCATATAAGAAGCGACTCAAAGGAACTCCTTTTTTTCTCAAACAACCTGATCGTTGTCATAAGCTACCATCGCTACGCACCATTCCGCCGAAAGGAAGAGCCATAAAGATTAACGCCAAGTCTGGTGCTCGGGTGCAGACCTTCAGTGCTCCAATCTCGCCAACGAAGGTTGATGGTATGCCGAATACCAAGGATGATGCTGATGTGCTGCTGTCATCCTCAGCTCAAGAGGACCGTCCGGAATCATCCTCAATGGCTGCTGCAAGGCTGTCTGCGCTGAAAGGCAAGGGATCAAAGGGTGAAGCAGTCAACAATCAGGGGATTTTTCAGGAACCAGAGCTACCTGAGCCGATGTCGCCTCCTGCTGAGCCGGATATGGACTTTCCAGAGGAAGAAGAGGATGAGGGAGTTGACGGCTCTGGCTACCTCAGTGGTGAGTCCGACGAGGGAGCTGATCCTGTCATGGCTGGTCTTGTTGCTGCTCAGATTTGTTAGATGCTGACGCTCTTAATCCCAGATGTGCATATCGAAGAAGTCCTGCATACGATGGACTCGGTCAACACTCATCTGACTCACTGGAAGAGGGAACTTTCGGCAGCCGTGCTGGCAACAACGAAATTTCAAAAGCTGCTCCCTACTTACCAGTCAAAGGAGCACTTTGGTCGCATTCAAGTAACTTTCATTCATGAGAACGACGCTGCTTTTGTTTGGAAACGCGCTGTTGCTCACGACTGTGTTGATGGCACCCCTTTGAAGTTGAGCTGGCAATTTCCTGAGAATGCAGATTATCTCCGAGCACGCTCTCTCCACCTGAAGGCTTTCGAGGTGGTGCTGAAGGGTGTTCCGGCGGAGCTGACCCCGGAGCGGATTCGGAAATTCCTGGTGATGGTGTGGCTGGTAAAGAGGGGGAAGCCGCCTTTCAAGGAAGGCTATGGGTTTCATCGTGTGCAAGACCTTGTTACCGGGATGGATATGGACAAGGTTAAGGGCCTTCTGGTGCAGCACGAGAATGACCCGTACCGCTGGCGTCACTTCATCCTGGACCCTGCAATGAACGGGAAGAAGCTGCTGCTGCACTTTCCTTCACTCAACTGCGACTACTGCAATGGCCACCACATGACACACTACCACGACGACTACGTCACTGACCGTCAAGCTAACATTGCTAAATGGAACCTCACGGTTAAACGCATCCATGAAGTTAACGGTACTTCTGATTTACAGCCTTGCATGGAGTGTCTCGCCTTTTTCTCTTTCCACGTTACTGACTCTACTCTCTCTTCTCCTTCCAGCAGCGGCCTCACTGAAAGTCACATACTCACAGGAAGCGATTCTGCTGGACCCGGCTCTTGTTCTCACCTCGACCGGCGGATCTCGAGAGGAATGGATCTGCGTTCTCGAAGCCTACGGCAAGGCACACAGCAATAACCTTGAGCTTGCAGCAGCGCATGTTGCCTCTGTTCATCACACCACCAATCTGACCACGGCGGGAGCAGCCACTCGCATCAGCAAGGGTGCGATCAATGTCACAGCCCTCAAGGAGGAGTTCCTAAAGTAACATGCTGGAGAGAGTTTGATGCATTAGTGTCAGAACATTATAGCTTTTACATTTGTGTAGGCTATAGTGGGGTAGCCCATAAGGGGTACAACCCAATTAGGGTTAGTACTTGTACCCAACTGTTTCTTAGTTCATTCATTCTCGTTCATAACTTTTACATGGTATCAGAGCAGGTCTCATACCGTTTTTTTTTTTTTTTTTTTTTGGGCCCACCACCTGCTGCCCTACTAACCTAGCCTCGCGCCCGTCGCCTCTAGGCCCCGGCCCGTCGCCATCCCTAGCCCGGCCCGTCGCCCCTTAGCGTCGCCCCTAGCCCGGCCCCTCGGTCGCCCTAGGCCCGTCGCGACCCCTCGGTCGCCCTAGGCACGTCGCGACCCCCGTCGCCCTAGGCCCGTCGCGACCCTCGTCGCCAGTCGCCCCTCACGGCCCCGTCAACCTAGGCCCCTGGCCCTCGCCCCGCGGCCCTCGGCCCTCGCCCCTCGGCCACTTAGACCCGGGCCCCGCGGCCTCGTCACCCCTAGGCCCCGTCAGCCTAGGCCCCGTCGACCTAGGCCCCCCGGCCCTCGCGACCCCGTCGACCACGGCCCCCCGGCCCCCGCGACCCTGTCGACCTAGGCCCCGCGGCCCCGTCGACCTAGGCCCCCGGCCCCCCGTGACCCCGTCGACCTAGGCCCCCGGCCCCCGTGGCCCCGTCGACCTAGGCCCCTGGCCCCCGTGACCCCGTCGACCTCGGCCCCGCGGCCCCGTTGACCTAGGCCCCCGTCCCCCCCTCCGTGACCCCGTCGACCTAGGCCCCCGGCCCCCCGTGACCCCGTCAACCTAGGCACCCCGGCCCCCCGCGACCCCGTCGACCTAAGCCCCCCCCCCCCCCCCCCCCCCCCCAAGGCCCCCGGCCCCCGTGATCCCGCCGACCTAGGCCCCGTCGACCTAGGCTCCCGGCCCCCGTGATCCCGTCGACCTTGGCCCCCTCGGCCCCGTCACTCCTGGCCCCGCGGCCCCGTCGACCTAGGCCCCCGGCCCCCGTGATCCCGTCGACCTAGGCCCCGCGGCCCCGTTGACCTACGCCCCCCCCCCCCCCCCCCCCTCCTCGGCCCCGTCTCCCCTGGCCCCGCGGCCCATTCGACCTCGGCCCCTTGGCCCCTCGGCCCCTTGGCCACTGCTACTGCTACAGCTGCTACTGTTGCTGCTGCTACTGCTGCTACTGCTACAACTACTGCTGTTACTACAGCTGCTACTGCTGCTCCTGCGTGCTGCGCCACTATGGCTTCGCTTAGGGTTCTAGCGTTCGATCATGAGGGCAGACCGGTTCAGTTTGACACGTGGCTCGACGATCTGCAGCTGTACCTACTGAGCGATTCTAAGGAGAGTGTCTCGCTGTTTAACCTAGCGTCAGGCGCCGCTACTGCCCCTCCCGCCACAGCTGACAGTGCGACTCGCTCACAGTGGCTTACTCGCGACGCTGCTGCCCGCTTGGCCATTCACAACCACCTGCCGTTAGCCGAATGCGCACACCTTGGACAGCATAGGACAGCCCAGGCACTGTACGCTGCTGTAGTCGCTCGCTACTCCTTGCCTGCCACTGCAGCTCTAGGCCGCCTGCTTCTGCCCTCCCTGTTCCCCGAGCTGTCCGCCTTTGCCACATACGAGGACCTGGTTTCCCACCTTCGCGCTAGCGACGCTCGCTACCACGCTGCTGCCCCCACTGAGTTCCTTGACAAGAACCAGCCCCGATGTTCATCACCCTCTACTTCATAGTCACTCGCCTCCCTGACTCTCTTCCCTCTGTCAGGGACCACTTTCTCTCTCTTGACCCCACCTCCCTCACTGTTGACCTCCTCGAGCAGCATCTCCTCACCGCTAAGACTAGTGCGGTTGCTGTAGGTGCTGCTCGTGGCACTCCGCGCCCGCCCTTCTTTGAGGGGTGCTCCCCCTCCTACCTTGCCCCCTCCTACGCCTCTGCTGCTGCTGCAAACGTCTCTGTTGCTGAGGACGTCGAGGCTGCTTTTGCTAGTGCAAAGCGCCGCCGCAGCAAGGGCAAGGGTGGCAGGGGTGGTGGAGGCAGCAGCGGTGGTGGTGGAGGTGGCAGCGGGAGCGGTGGTGGGGGCAGCAGTGGAGGTAGTGGAGGCAATAGAGCTGGTGGCGGCGGTGGGAATGGTGGCGGGAGTGGGGGCTCTGGTGGCGGCAGTGGAGGCAGCGGTGGGAATGGCGCTCGGCGTGTTGGTTCTGGAGGTGGCCAGCGTCAGCAGCAGCAGCGTCAGAGCGAGACCCAGTCGCTCCAGCAGCTTCGTGAGTGGTTTTTGCAGCGTGGGGCGTCTGGGGGTAGTAGTAGCTGCCCGTATGTCATTCGCACGGGTGACCATGCTGGTCAGACTTGCGGGCGGCTCCACACTCAGCACAGCTGCTTCTCCCGCCTCGACAACGCTTGGCGTGCTGAGTTTGGTGACGACGTCGAGCTCCCTCGCTGGGCAGATCTGCTTAGGTCTAGGATTGCTATCTTTGACCTAGACTTTGATGCTATTCTTTTTGCTATGTATGCTTTGTCTGTTAGTGCTGAGGGTGACTGTTACCGGTGTGTGCCGCCTGACCCAGGTATAGCTGCTGCTGCTCTAGGTGCTAGTGAGTCTGATACTCTCCCTGGTACTGCGCCTTCTTAGGCCTTGCACACCTTCACGTTGGACTCAGGCGCCTCGCGCTGTTTCTTTCGCGACAGCACCACTCTCACTCCTCTCCCTGCACTTGTCCCGGTCTGACTGGCTGACCCCTCTGGGGGCCCGGTCGTTGCCCGTTCCTCCACTGTCCTCCCGTGTCCGGCGGTTCCGTCAGGCTCATTAACAGGTCTTCACTTCCCCTCGTTCTCCACGAACTTGGTGAGTACCGCTGCCCTCTAGGATGCGATGGTCACTACCACCACTCCTGGATGTCAGCGTGTGTCGATCTGCACGTGCACGCGGACAGGGCGTCACCTGGCCACGTTCACTCGACGGCCAGGGTCGAGTCTGTACACACTTGCTATCGAGCCTCCTCAGGTAGCTGCGTCTGCTCAGGGGCCTGCGTCAGGTCAGGTAGCCGCCTCTTGCTTGTGTCGCCTCCTGTCGCACCAGACTCTTCTGTGGCACCACCGCCTGGGTCACCCCTCCCTGCCACGCCTTCGTGGCATGCACTCTCGTCTGCTTGTCTCTGGTCTTCCCAGGTCTCTGCCTCCCCTCCCGCCCTCGCCTGCCCCGCCCTACCTTCCGTGCGTCGAGGGGCGGCAGCGCGCCGCTCCTCACTCCTCCTCGTTTCCCCGGATGACTGCTCCACTGCAGAATCTCCACACAGACGTGTGGGGCCCAGCCCGCGTCAGTAGACAGAGCCGCGAGCGCTACTTTCTGCAGGTAGTTGACGACTACACGCGGTACACTACGGTCTTCCCCTTGCACAGCAAGGGTGAAGTCGTTGATGTCTTGATCCCTTGGATCCGCACAGTCCGTCTCCTGCTCCGCGAGCGGTTCGGCCAGGACCTTCCTGTCCTGCATCTGCACTCTGACAGAGGTGGTGAGTTCTCCTCCAACCTCTTGCGGGACTTTTGTCGTAGGGAGGGCATTCTCCAGTCGTTCACGCTTCCGGACTCCCCTCCGCAAAATGGGATTGCTGAGCGCCGCATTGGCTTAGTCATGGAGGTCGCTTGTACCTCCATGATCCATGCGGCTGCTCCCCATTTTCTGTGGCCGTTTGTGGTCCGGTACGCTGAGCATCAGCTCAACCTCTGGCCCCGTGTCTCCTTACCGGAGACCTCGCCCACACTGCGTTGGACGGGGGAGGTTGGCGATGCGTCGGTGTTCCGGGTCTGGGTTTCTCGTGCCTTTGTTCGCGATACGTCCGCGGACAAGCTCTCCGCCCGTGCTATCCCCTGCGTCTTCCTTGGGTTTGTCCCTGACGCGCCTGGCTGGCAGTTTTACCACCCCACCTCGCGCCGTGTCCTTCCGTCTCAGGACGTCACGTTCGACGAGTCGGTTCCCTTCTACCGTCTCTTCCCCTACCGCTCTGCCCCTCCCCCGCCCCCGCCACTCTTCCTTGCTCCCGGTCCCCCTCCGATAGACCCCCTCCCGCCCCAGGGTCCTGCTCCCTAGAGATGCGCCTGTCGAGGTAGCTGTCGTCTTAGGTGCTGCTCCAAGTTCTGCGTCTGGGGGTATTGCGTCTGGGGGTGCGGAGCCGGGGGGTGTGGGGTCTGAGTGTGCTGGGTCTGGGGGTGCTGAGCCTGGGGGTGAGGAGCCTGGGGGTGCTGAGCCTGAGGGTGTTGAGCATGGGGGTGCTGAGTCGGAGGGTGCGGAGTCTTGGGGTGCTGAGCCTCGGGGTGCTTCTTCGTCTGGAGGTCCTGCTGGTGCTTCGCCGCGACTGTCTCTGCAGCAGCTGCGTGAGTGGCTTGTTCGGCGCGCACCCCTTCGGAGTTGAGCTCCTGGAGCTGGAGGCGCTGGAGACACTGGAGCTGGAGGTGCTGGAGTTACTACTGGAGCTAGTGGTAATAGAGGCATTGCGGCTGCTGGTCCTGGAGGTGCTCGTACCAGGGGTGCTGGAGCTGCCGGGACTGGTGGTGCTGGGGGCGCTGGAGCTGGAGACCCTACGGAGCCTGGAGCTGCTGGAGCTGGAGGCTCTTGCGCTGGTGGAGCTGGCGCTGGAGGCGCTGGAGCTGGAGGAGCTGGAGTTGGAGGCACTGGCGCGGGAGGCGCAGGAGCTGTCGGAGCTGGAGCTGTTGACCCTGGAGCTGGAGGTGCTGGAGGCACTGTGCGGCCGCGACCGTACTTCGTTCCTTTGCTTCAGCAGGTTCTTGGAGTCCCGTCTTCTACTGCCCTTACTCCTCCCTTACTCTGTCCACCGCCTGACCAGTCGCAGCCGCCATTACAGCCATCCTCCCCCCTGCCTACTCCCTCTCCTTACACTGAGAAGTTTGGCGGTCTTACAGAGCGTTGTGAGCCTGCGTCTCGCCCTGTCTCGCCTGTTCGCACTGCTCATCGCGTTCCTCG